GCAACCAGATCAGACGAAGAGGAAGAGCGCGATCTGGAGCATTTCATTCTCGAACAGCGAGCACAAGCTCAGGCCAGAGCTGCCGCTGCCGCCAGCGCAGGCGGTCCATCTACTAACAGCTGGGAGGCAGGCGGAGCAGGTATGGGTGAAGGCGGACCCCAGTGTGTCGTCTGCCAGTCCTCGCCACGTGCCATCCTGGTCTGGCCCTGCGGGTGTCTGAGCATGTGCGACGACTGCCGCGTTGGGCTCGCCATGCGGAACCACACAAAGTGCATCTGCTGCCGGACGGACTTGGCTGCATACTCAAGACTCTATGTACCATAAGCTCCAATTTCTTGTTAATACGTTTCAATTGGATTATAGATGGATGCATGCATGATACACAATGTCAACTCAGCTCTTACCACTTTCATTATAGCTGGTTGTGCTCTCCCGTCTCATCTTCGCGGCATTCAAATAGATGAATACCTCCCTTAACATATTTTCCACTCACGTCCCATATCGTTTCAGGCACAAGCCTTTACGTCTCATTCGCCCCTTTTCAACTGTAGCTCTGGATATTAGAAGTTGCCACTACTTCTTACGCCACAGACCTGTATCCTTCGTGGGATCACGATGCTTGATCTTCATGTATCTTTAGCTGGCGTGGTGATTGCCCCAAGCCAACATTTGCATGCTGTCGTCAGCCTGCCCAGTCTATGGCTACGTGAGTCTTCGATCAAAGTCATGATTTACGTTGTTCCTGCCCGGTTCATATTTGGGAAGCTATTCTGCTTCTACCATATAAAAACTACCATACCAAGATTCTCCAGCGGATCTACAACAGACAATTCCGGAGGCATACATTGAATGCGCTGAATGCCGAACAAAGACCCGAATTCTTCGTCGTCCCGAGTCACATCGTCGTCTTGAACTACGTCGTCATCTGACATGTCCGCGTCGGAACCCATACTCTGTACAGGGGAGCCGTAACTATTTCCAGATGCACTCCTTGTGTCGTATGCAGGATCAACAACCGCGGCGTTTCCCTCTTTACTAAGGCTCGATGGCGAGAGCACACATGGCCAACATTCATCTTTCCCGATGATTTGGAATTTGTACCCTTTTTGAATACACAAGGTCGCAGCAGCGAAGCGGGCAAGGGAATTGCCATGCGCCAAAAAGACGCAGCCCCTGGTTGGTGGATCCAGAAACTCCGTCCAGTTTTGAACGGAAAGAAGTCCCCATTCGTGAGACATTGGACCTCTGTTCTCTAGTTCGTGTGAGCAGTCGATTTTCTGCTGTCGACGTTCGCACTCGGCTTTGTAGGCTGCTACGACATCTAGATCAGCGATCCACTTGCCTCCTTCGTGCACTGATATGGCTGCTTCGATGAAGGCAGCGTCAGCATCACGACTTCCCCGTGGCCCAAGATCGAGAGGAAGCTCGTAGCCTGTAAGACATAGATGGAGTGATGTGCTCGCGAAATGGTCCGTCGCATGGCCATCCCAAGGCGTATGTTCGACAACCTGCCACGAATTGTAATCCACTTGTCGGACTTTAGGATTCGCTGGCGTGATGATCAGGGAGAAACCAGGCTTGCCAACGTTTCCAGCAACACGAGTGACTGGAAATCTTTCGTCTTCATTCCCGAGATCCTCGAGTAAGTAACGAGCCACAAAAAGGGAATCTTTATAGGACAGCGCTACAACTCCGTCAAGATCCTTAGCACCAACGTCCACGAAACCTGTTTCAAACATCGCTATGCAGGAAAACGCCTGGATCGGATGTAAAGCAGGAGTAGAGAGCCCGCCCTCAGCGATAAGCTTTGTCCACATGCATTCAGGCACGGATCGGCTAGTCACTTGGAGGTCCACACTAGAGCCTGGCAATTGTTGATACAGAGTTTCGACGACAGTTAATGATTCCAGTGAGTTGTAGTATGAGGCATGCGGCGATTTGTGACTAGAGCGCAATAGAATTTCGACAAGGGAAAGGGCACTGATGTATCCTCGTTCCAAACACTGTAAGAGATTCGCAACTTTCATATGGTTTGGATATGCTGATAGTTCTGTATGCGGTGTTGCTCCCACGGGCTGGAAAATCGCTGCCGAGCCAAGATTGCCGCAGAGAAAAGTAAACTCTGTTGCTTTCTCATATGGCCCAGGTGGAAACATTGTGTTGGAGACATCTTCGCTTGGTTCGTCATCGCAGTTAAGCCCTGAGGAGGCACCATATGATGGAGCAGAAAATTCAACCATTCCACGCTTTCTAACCATTGCACACACTTTATCCGGGTTGAGGGCATCCAGCTTCAGCTCCCAATCGTGCCTCCAATGTTGAAATGTAGAGCTTGAAAATTCCTCTTGGAACGGTCTCTTGCGCCCGACGACAGGGTTCTCGAATACTTTGGTGAAAGTGAACGGCTCGTAGTTGTGTTTCCGATAACGTATGATTGCATCCGCGTGAATTTTGCGGTCAAGGAACATATGAGCCCAAGTTCTGAGAAACTTGATCTTCAAGTCTTTCTCGCTTGGAAACAATCGTAGTATAAGCTCCATGTTGGTGAGCCCAAAGGCAGGACGAGGATGCTCGTTAGCAGGGCTGAGGAAGTCGGCCGTCTTTCTTCGACCAAACCCAATAAGGCTAAATTGTCTTTTCCTTTCAACATCAGATGCAGTTTTCATCTCTTTGCAACAGGCTGCGAGTGACTGCAACCACTTCAAAGATGCGCTCTGTTGCTTCGTTACGTACTTTCCAGTAAGGACGACATCGGCTAGTCGAATGATCAAATGGATTGCTGATTTCAGATCAGGCTCAAGGGGACCCCACGTAGACAGAATGCTGCCCAGAATGACATAACGGAATTGGTCAAAAGAAACTTGAGATTCTCGCAAGCCGCTGTATCTTGTGGCCTGCATAGGGACGCCATAGTATCGCAGATGAGCCAGGGGGAGTGACCAGTAAATTCCGTCGCCAGCCTGGTCCGGGCGGTTTTCCAGACCTATAGTGATAACACCGCCCGGATGGATTAGTTCGTCATTCTGACATACACGATGGGTTTGTTCTTGCAAGACGGCCATATCAGGGTACAAGTGCCATGCGGATATGCCCAGGAGTACATCGCCGCTATGAATCCGTTGCGGTTGTCCAAGGATCAGATTGTCGAGAGCAACCATTGCCTTGCTCCAAGCGTCGATCACAGCAGGGTAAAGCTCGGTCTTTCGCGACACCGGCAAGGAAATGTTCTCCATTATTAGGCGTAATTGGACTTGCTGCACCGCTTTCACTTTATCTGCGGACGCGACCCATGCCCTACGAGCCGAATTAGTGGCGTCTTCGAAATGTAAAGTCATCAACACCAACCAAGACATAGGATACAACTTACCGAGCACTGGCATCCCAATCAGCTAATTGATCCCTAGTTATCTCGATTCGCGACGCAGCCAGCTCCGAGGTATGAAAAGATCCCGACGTGCTGACCTTGCCCTCCAGGAGGCTCTTACGATGCTGTACAAGCTCACTCCAGATCGAGATTGCCTCAGAACCTTTCCATATCCGCGCGAGCATGCATGCGAGTAGATGCATCGTAACGACTCCCTTCCCCGACGTTGCAGAAGCCCAGATTGTTGTCCCATCTGCTCCAACGTGATCCGCGAACGCCCCATGTGCTTTTGAGCCTTGAGGGTTCGCGTTTGGCGTGGATGCAACCTCACTGACTCGTCGCCCATATGCCTCGAGGAGGTTAGGAACCTCTGGTATCTCTGATTCGAACAGAGCACCCAGCTTTCTCGCTGTAATGTGGATTCTGCCATCCTCCGCTACTTCCTTCCTTCCACGCGAAAGACATTGACCCAAGGCCAGATATTCTGCAGGTGCCTCGTATTTAATGAGCGAGAAATCGAAATTCAGGCTTGCCAATGCAACCTGTGTCTCTTGCGAAGCTTGTATAAGGGAGTTGGATAGTTTTCCAATGGATGCCATCTTTGTGAAATATGCTGAAAAGGTCACCAGTCACAAGCTACGGTCAGAACCAAGTATATCTTCCAGCCTGTCAGGAGAAGAGCGAGCCGTGCATGGCTGCAGAAAGACACGAAGCCTACACATAGCACACCGGGAAATTTGAATGGCAACTGTAATTGTTTAGGATACACAACTAACTACACAGAAGATGATGGGGCAGTGCTATCATCTGCGCGCATTGAGCGAGTGTCACGATGTAGTGGCGAAGTACAGCGTCTGAAGCGAGCTTGCAGCCAATACACGTTTAGCTTCCTGCATGGTATATACTACTTGCGCAATTTTTTTTAACTTTTTCTCGCTCGGGACTAGAATCTCGAGTAGACTATAGACTTGTCTATTCGGCAGTGCAGGTATCATATGTTTGGTAGCCACATTGCTGGCTCCATATATTACTGAGCGCTATCCGCTGACTCTGCTCTCTGTACACAAGCAATAAGGCAACCGTTTCATGACTGACTATCGTTCATCTGTCTCCGCGTATCAATGGCCATCCGGGTTCTATACTGGCCAAGCGGGTCTGATTTGATTAACAACTTGCGTTGTTTGGAGACTTGTTCTAGCTGCCCGATTCATTCGTTGATAGGATACGCTTATAGTTCGATCATCTCTTGGTCCGTGGGAAATTGGCGCATCATCGCTCCATCCGCGACTCCCTAGCTCACGTGTAATATCCATAATCTCTGCAACCCTCTTCCTGTGGTTGAACCGTGATGGCATAGTATCTCACCATGTTTTGGATACTTACGGATTGTACATCTCCTTCGTTCACATTCAGCATCGCTGGTCTCATCTCCATCTGAATTGGCTTACATACTCTTACTCTGGATCCTATCTCTCTATCTCCATCTCACTCCATGTTAGTTGTTGATATATACAATAGCTTGTCCATCGCTACATAGCCTTCTCAATACTCAGGTACTTTAGATCTAGAGAATATATTTTACAAAACATGCAACTGATACACACCATCGCCAAATATCCAGTGCGATGAGAAGTCTGGCTTTGTAGTGTAGTGGTAATCACTTCAGATTTTGACGCCGCGCTCAAATTCTTTCTGATAACCCAGGTTCGAACCCTGGCAAGGCCTACTTGCGTGTTTTTTATTTTACCTATTGACCATAACAGTAGTCAAAACGAGAGTGAAGCATTCGCGTAGCACTTATATTATAAGAACAGGAGGGAAATTCTCGGAAGGATGATGCATTTGTTTTGGTCAGTAGAAGGAGGTGGAGTTACACGATGAAACCGTTACTATCAAACACAAAGTCATTATCTGCAATGCCATGCGCAAGGTGGAACATTATAGCCAAGCACCATTTCTCATCTACCAGCCCATACTGTCGTCGTCGCTGTCAGAAGCTTGATACCGACTTGTGCCTTCATTACGTTGGCCAAGAACGGCCTCCACCTTCTTTACCAGATGGTTAAGGAGTCTTTGGATCATGCCATCGTAGACTTGGTTGCAGGCAGGAGACTCTATGTGTTGAAGGAGACCACTAAGCAACCTGAAGTCTTGACCGCAGGTTGGACAAGAATATTGGTATTTGGAGTCCCAATTATTAATATAGGGCCCAGATGGATCGAACTCAAATGCCCATATGTCAGTCCAGCCTCTGTCGACGCCGCCTGCGCAGCTGCCAGATTCTAGGTGGATCAGAATGCCAGATTCCGATGCGAATCTACAGTAGCAGCCGTAGCATTCTCGATCTTTTGCTTGGTGGGTTTGCTGGTGCTGTAGATGAAGGGACGAATCAGCTTAGGTCTTGAGACAATCATGTCGGCCTTCCACCTACCATGAGCACATCATTTCGACAACTGAACTGCGCGTGACAGGTACAACATCGGAAATGTTCTTGCTCTATGTGATCATGCAGGCTATCGCGGTCGCCCTCATCTATCCCGCAGGTATTGCAGACCCAGTGGTTGATGGCGTTGGCCAGATGAGCCGACCGAGCCGCTGCGGAAACGAACAGCCATTCACAGCGTTCGCACCATTGAGAGTGGTGGATATTTGCAGTTCTCACATGCTGGAGTAGCGCGGTCTCTGAACTGAACCGCCGGTTATCGCATGATGTGCAGATGTAGTGGCCGTCGTGTCGATTAACATATATCAGGTTTGACCTTGTCATAGCCTCACCCGCAAGGTACAAGGTTTCTTAGTATCAAGCAGGACTCCGTCTGCTACAGAAGTCCAAAGTTGACTGCAAAAAACGCTCCCCAAAAGTGTGTATAGTTGATTTTTATCTGTCTTCCGTGATTTGCTTAACATACGTATATCAAAGAGCTTCAGATACTGGTTTAGGAGACTTTGGACTGTCTCCAACATACAAGGCAACTGCAAGGCGAACTGGAGGTAAAACGTGGGGAGCCAATCATCTCCATCCGCCTTTCTATCCGAATACATCCACAGGTGTCATTCCACACGCACAGCACGGCAATCACTGCATTTCAGCTTCATACGTATGATCTCAGATATCCAGTAGATGTTCGCGTCCGCTTTGTTGTGCGTTCCAATTGATATCCGCGCTATGAATGCGTATTGAGATACCGGATGCCTCGGTCACGAAAGCAAGACGTTGCAGTCAAACGGGAAGACAAACAGCAAAATGCAGACCCGGCTTTATTACCAACGCCTGCTTCCGACGACGAGAGCCTGAGGATGAGCTACCGTGTTGCGCGCGGCGAACAAGGCGTCTTGACCTTTGAGCCGTATAAATCGATCCTGCTGCCATATTGGCGCTTTCGCACTGTGCCAATCGCCAAGCAATCATCCGAAGAACTATGGACAGCTTTCGGCTCCTATGTTATCCGCGAGGACTTTGTCGGCGCAGATATGGCTCGGAAGTTCATACAAATGGGCATGACGAGGGCAAAGCGATACGCAAATCACAAGGGGGGCAAGAAATACAATCGCTCTGAGAGAGAGGTTGAGGAGGATCCTGAAGGCGAGAAGAGGAAGGAGCTACCAAGAAGCAATGACCATAAAGGACAAGAAGAGAAGCTCGAGGCGAGCGAGATCTTTAAGCAGGTCTGGAAGAGGGCTACCACTGACAAGAAGTATCTGGACTTGAAGGAGAATTTTCTAAGGGAGCAGAAGACTTGGGAGAAGCAGCAAAAGAAGGTCAAGAAGGAGGAAGAAGAAGTTGGCGTCAAGACTGAGCATTCTGGTGACGCTGACAGTCCATAGCTTCGATTCTGTAGACATACGTACGCGAAGGGTTTTCATTCTGTGATGGACTGCAATCCATACTGGCCACTCCTAGGCTTCATGTTGCTCTGCACCCTTGTCCTTTCTCGTAGTCAAAGCTTGTCATCATGCTTCGTACGGTCGATACGACAGTAAAAGTATGCGAGGCCTGCTTGCAAACCACCTCATACATGTATTTTACGGCAGTGAGCCTCACTCGCAGCAGACGGCTCAAGAGCGACTCTTGAAGCTTCATAGTCAGTTTCGTAGGTTTGTCTCATCCTCTTTCCCATGTTGATTCCCTCGGGTCTTCGGCTCTTATCCGATGCTATCTTGAGTGTATCTAATGTTGTCAGCTCGCGAACTACCGCAACAGCAGGTTTTAAGACATACTGCTTCTGCTAGAGCGATCCACTCTTCAATGCCTTTCACATGCTGCTGATCTAATCCTGGTGATGATTCATGGCCCCAGACAAACATGCGATCAAATGTTCCTTGGGTTTGCATGATCTTGACTTCTGCTGGCTGGTCTTCGTCCAATTCCTCGTCGTCATCTTCTTCCGGCGGCACTTGAGGGACGGTCTGCTTTGCGTTGCTTTTTTCTTCAGTTGCTTGAAGAACAACTCCCTGATATCCACTAGGAACTTTCACCTCCCTGCCGTGAAGCTTACGACCTCGCAAGTAGGCTGTATGGCTACCAGCTTCACCTGTTTCCGGCTTCCAGTACCGCCCGTCCACTGGCACCGGACCGTTGTGCCTTATACTGCATGGTAGAAGATTTGGCACGATTTGGCGAGAATCAGGGGAGTTTTTAATTGCAAGCATGCTGAATTCGTACAAGATAGCTCGTATCGGCTGTATCACGCAGTCTTTGCATCTCTACATGAATCGGGGACGGGTGACGCGCTTCAAGTCAAGATACGCGACAGGCGTCACGCGTCAAGCTCCATGTCTTGGCCTCATGTACGGAGGAGCGCACCAAATGAGCTCGTCTGGTCCGTGCGAGTGGCTTTACTAGTGTCTTGGCGTTATCATATCAGACTTGAGGGACCATATAATAGCTGTAAGGTTTGAACTGCAATATCTCTACA